CAGCTAGAATCATAAATAATACCACTTCTTAGGTATTTTGGGGGTCGAGCAATCTGAATCTGATGTTATTTTAACGATTTGAGGCAAGACAGACGCCCCAAGGGACCGCCATATTGGCAAAATCCAAAATGGCCGACACATACCGCAGTTAAAAAACTAAACTAGCTAGAATTATAAGTAATACAACTTTGGAGGGGTTTTAGGTGACAACGAATCTGAATCTGAGGTTATTTTAATGATTTGATGCAAGACGGATGCCCAAGAGGGCCGCCATATTGGAACAATCCAGGCCGCCTGCCAAGTTAGAGGTCAGTCACAGTTAAAAACTAAACGAGCTAGAAGCATTAATGATACCATTTTACGGGGGGTTTCAGCACTTTTCAGTACTTTTCACCACTTCCGAAGCCCACCCAGATACTAGAGCTCAAATAGGCCAAGGATCTCCAAAACAGCTCGAAATGATCTCGAAAGTGGTCGCAGTGATTTAACTCTCAATCCTTCACTTCAGGCTCAGTGGGTCGCATAACGAATTACTCCGGTGTGCCGATTACATTCTTACAATGCTCTGAGTAGGCGTCTGCTTGACCAGGTAAAGTGACGTGAGAGAGACTTAATGGGCGTACCTCGTGCCGCTGATGTAATGCTCATTGAGTTTAGACTGTGAGCGCATGTCAGGACCTCAGCCTTAGAAAGGACAGTGGCCCTCCCAGAGTGAGGCAGGTGCTTCCCTATCACATTGATGAATCTTGTCTTCAATGTGCAGCACGCTGTACGCCCATCATAGGTTCAAACTTGACTTCTCCTTAAAAAAAAATTGGTGGTATTGACTTTTGAGAGCAGTTTGATGATATCATACAGTACGTGACTGATCCAAACACGTTGGTCTGGCCTAGGTTGGGGAATTCAGTGCCCTGCATCGTGCAGTTCCATCGCGTGCTTGAACATTGAAGATGTGGATGCGGCCTTGTCTAGGAATAGGGCGTAGATCCTGATTTCGGCATGGGGCTTTGCTGACTGGTTTGCTAGCACTGATTTCATTGTATCCCAACCAGGCGATGATGTCACCATCTGCGAACTTGCCTTGCTTCAGCAAGCCGGTACATATGCCATCTAAGCCTCATGCTTTTTTGACCTTTTGAACTCGCACATCAAGGGATGGACTAACTTCGCTTGTCAAGTCTGAGTGCAAAGACGTGAGTTCAATGGGGGGGGGGGGGGGGAAGGAGGCTGGATCGCGGAAGAGTCAGGTAGCGTTGGAGTTGGTGTGTCGGAGAAGTCAAGCTTGATGAGCCCGCTTCACTGCAGGGTTCTCATGCGAGAAATGGATATTTACGATGGGCATTTCACTGGAACTCACCAAGTGAGAGGTTGCCCTGAGCCTTGGCTATCTGTAATCAACATCTTGGGTGGTGAAGACAATGAAACGACCGTTTGGTGATAGCACCACCCATCCTCAGCATGGCGGTCACACACCACACGCGCCTGTCCATCCTTTTAACAACTTAGGACAATGTTCTCACTCCAATTTAAGATTGTTTCTGTGGCATGTGTATAGATGTCAAACTTTTCGACATGTTCAGCTAATAGAAAAGGGTTTTTATATGGAATGACGCACCAGAAACAAGAGGTTTGACCGGAATGATCTCGAGTGGTAAATTTGACATCAAATCATTGAAATAAGATCCGAATCAGATATTTGGACCCCCCCCCCCAAAAAAAACCCTGTAGTTGTATTGTTTTAACTGCGAGTACCTCCCCTTTTTTCAATATGGCGGCTCCTAGGGCATCTGTCTTGCCTTGAATTATTAAAATGACATCAGATTTAGATTCTGTTACCCCGAAAACCTATTAAAGATGGTATTATTTAGGATTTTAGCTCGTTATTTGTTCAACTGTGAAATATGTGGCGGCCATTTTGGATTTTGCCAATACGGTGGTCCCTTGGGCGTCTGTCTTGCCTCAAATTGAGATTGCTCGACCCCGAAAATATCTGAAAAGTGGTATTATTTATGATTCTAGCTCGTTTAGTTTATATTGGATTTTGCCAATACGGCGGCCCCATGGGGCGCCCGTCTTTGCGCCCGTCAAAAATCGAAATAGTATGGTATGGACAACATCTATGCCAAATTTTGTGCTTTTGGAAGAATCTGAACCAAAAAATCCCTAAGACCCCCGAGTATGATTAGTGTTTGAAGTTCAGTTAAAGGGAATATACAACATTTGCAAACATCGAAAAATAAAACTACCAAGTTTTTGCGAAATACCTTAATAGGATGTTGGTAAATGACAGTCTAAAGCATCCTGTAAAATTATGGCACCTGGTATACTGTCATTTTCAAGAAAAGTGGTATTTTTTTATCAATTTCCAACGCTGATCGGCCGATCAGCGTTGGAAACAACTGGCTTTTTTTTCAAATACTGGCCCCAATTGACCATTGCACTTGTTTGCAATCGATTACAAACCTATGAACGGGTACGAGCCAGCTAGACTGGTTCCCTGACCTTACAATTCCCAAATGTATGTAAACTGCTCTGTTTCTTCTTATATGGAGTCAGGGAACCAGACTACAGGAAAATGATCGTTTTTCTTGGTTTTTATAGCTTTTTCGAACCCAAAACCTCCAAAAAGTTAGTGTAACTATATTTGCTTTATATTTCAAACCCCCCAATTCCATCCATTTCTGAAAATTACAGCAAAAGCAAATGATGTATATTCCCTTTAAGTCGATTCCAATGATTTATTTGTGTTCTAGTTGTGCTGCACTCTCTTTCCATTGTGGATGCAGATATTATTGTTGGCCCACTTGGCCAGGCCAGAGTTGAGATTTGTAAGTCCATAATTGATCGAAGTTGCGCTTGTTGGTCAGACTTTTCGTTCAGAGTTGACGTTCGTTTGTTTGTTGGTCAGAGTTGACGCTCATTCGTTTGTTGGTCAGACTTGACGCTCGTTCATTTCTTGGTGTTGTGATTAACACGCTCATTAGTTCTTTGGTGTCGTTGTTAACACGCTCGCTTGTTCTGCGGTGTCGTTTTTTAAAGGAGTACCAACCTTTCTTAATCATATTACATTTCTGTTTGTCTGTTTGCAGACCGTGTTCATTGTTGAAGTGACCAAAACAAAGAGACAGCGTTCTTATTTATGAACACGGAAGCCCTAAGACACAACAATGCCTGTTGTATCATGCCCCATCCCCTGCTGTGACTACGCCACTCAGGATCTCTATCGTAGCTGCACTCCTCACTGCCCACAGCGCTGTACACACCTCTGGACATGCTGCCAAGGTTGAGAAGGTCAAAAGGCCAACGATTGCCACTGCTGGCTCCAGTGAAGAGTGGGCTTATTTCAAGTCACGGTGGTCAGATTACGTCGATGCCACCAATATAGCCGGCAAGGATAAAGTAGTACAACTACTTGAATGCTGTGATGAACCCTTGTGCAAGGACCTCACAAGATCCGCGGGTGGTAGCCTCACCAACAAATCTGAAACTGAGGTACTGGCTGCCATAAAAAGACTTGCTGTGCGTGAAGAGAACACTATGGTTGGCAGAGTGACACTTCACATTATGCGTCAGGATCGTGATGAAACAGTGCGCAGCTTCGGAGCTCGCCTACGTGGTCAAGCAGTATTTTGCAAGTTCCTAATAAAATGCCCTGGCTGTGACATTGACGTTTACTACACTTAAGCAATCCTGCGGGATGTACTCACCCGAGGCATCGCAGACCCTGAAATCCAGCTTGATCTCCTTGGCGATAAGAACCAAGACATGACCCTGGAGGAAGTCTGGAGGGCCAAGCAAGTGAACCTCAAGGATAAACATGACCCATGCTCCTACTGTGGCAAGAAAGGACATGGGAAGAACGCCCCTGCCCGCGCTCGTAAAACCGAATGTGCAGTATATGGCCACAGGTGTGGGCATTGTGATAAAGACCACCAAATGGAGAGTGTGTGCCGCAGTAAGGCCAAACCAAAACATTCGACACCCGCCCCTCCTGATGACCGTGAAGGTGCTGTCTTGGATGCCTAATGTACCATCTCTGATCCAGTACAACACCCCAATGGGTGTGCATTTGACGAGTTAGTTACTGTCAATGACTTGGAAAAACCACACCAAGGACTGAACATTCCCCTAGACCATCACGTATATGACAACCTCTCCAACACGTGGCTCAGGAAAAGATCAACGCCACAACCTTTCATCGATGTAACCATCAACATTGTACCGGAAGACAACGCAGCCCTCGGTTTTGACCTTCCCACTCTCACCATGACTTGCTCTGTCTTCGCCATGGCAGACACAGGGTGCCAGAGTTGCCTCGCCGGTATGAAGGTCATTCACTGTCTCGGTCTACGTAAATCCGACCTCCTCCCAGTGACCATGAGGATGCACACCGCCACCAATGGAGGCATCAAGATCCTTGGGGCCACAGTACTCCGCTTGTCAGGCAAAGATGGACGGGTCCGGGTCATTGAAACCAGGCAAATGACTTACGCCACGGACAGTTCTGACAAGCTCTTCCTCAGCAAAGAGGCCTGCATCGCCCTTGGAATCATTCCGGATGGCTTCCCCACGATGGGCGTAACTCAGAAAGCATGCAAGCTGGACACGACAGCAGCCCTACAGGAAGACCACACCTCAGATTGCCATTGCCCTCGGCGTCAGCGACCCCCACCACCCCCAACGAAACTGCCGTTTCCTGCAATCGACGCTAACCGTATGAAGCTACAACAGTATCTCCTTGACTACTTCAAGTCGAGCACATTCAACAAATGTGAACATCAGACTTTGCTTGTTATGGACAGCCCCCCCCCCCATGACACTAATGGTAGATCCCAACGCCGAACCGGTTGCGCATCACACACCGGTACCCGTCCCACTCCACTGGCAGGATGCCGTTAAAGCTGGGTTAGACCATGACATGCAGTTGGGCGTGCTTGAGCCAGTTCCCATTGGCGAGCCTGTCACCTGGTGCCATAGGATGGTAGTTTGTGCAAAGAAGAATGGCAAACCACGACGTACTGTCGACTTCCAGGCTCTTAATGCTCATGCTACGCGGGAAACGCACCACAAGCCATCACCCTTTCACCAGGCTAGATCAGTCCCAAACGGGAAAAAGAAAACTCATAACACCTTGGGGTAGATACCGTTACAAAACGGCCCCTCAAGGGCACATTGCCTCCGGCGATGGATACACGAGGCGGTATCACGAGTTTGTGTCAGACATCCCAAACAAAACCAAGTGTGTAGATGACGTCCTGCTTTGGGCTGACTCTCTAGCAGACTGCTTCTTTCAAGCTGTTCAGTGGCTCGACACCTGTGGACGGAATGGGATCACCCTTAACCCTGACAAGTTTGTGTTTGGTGAAGACACTGTAGAATTCGCCGGGTTTGAGATAACTCCTGACAGCGTCCGGCCTTGTAGGAAGAACCTACAGGCCATCCTGGACTTCCCAACACCCAAGGACATCACTGATGTACGTTCCTGGTTTGGGTTTGTCAACCAAGTTTCGTACGCCTTCAGCATGGCTGAGAAGATGCTGCCATTCCGGCAACTTTTGAAACCTAGCTCATCATTCAAGTGGGATGAAAACCTCCAAAATGCATTTGAGGAATCGAAAGCTGTGATAGCCAGCGAGATCGAAGAGGGCGTCCAAATCTTTGACCCGAGCAAGCCTCTGAATCACGCTATGCCCCAGTGGAGGGCGAAGCCCTTGCAGTCGCTGATGCCCTAGATAAAGCCAGATACTTCGTACTGGGATGCGAAGACCTTATAATTGCTGTTGATCACAAGCCCCTCTTGAAGATCTTCACTGACCGATGCCTGGAAGACGTCCCTAACCCTCGCCTAAGGAACTTGAAAGAGAAAACCCTGCGATACCGATTTCGCATGATCCATGTGCCAGGCATTAGACATCGTGCCACAGACTGTATCTTGCGTCACCCTACTGGCGAGCCTGTCAAACTGATCCTCCCTGACGATGTAGCGTCCATTGATTCCGCACCCGTCATCTTGGCACATTCTAAACGTCTCATGGCTGGTCTGCGCACCCCAGCAACACACACAGACACCATCGAAGAATGCATCTTCTCATCTGCTGTGTCCTCCCTAGACTCACTCAGCCTCAAATCTGTTACGTGGGACAGGGTTCGCACCGCTACAGCCAGTGACGACAACATGCAGAGCCTTGTTGACCTCATCGAATCTGGCATACCTGAATTCCGCCATGAGCTCCCTAGACCCCTTCGCGAGTACTTCCAGTTTCGGGATAGCCTACATACCGTCGACGGCTTGATACTCTACAAGGACCGTGTCATTATACCCCCCTCTCTAAGGGAGGAGGTGTTAGCCAATCTACATGCTGCCCATCAAGGGGTTACCTCTATGACCGCAAGAGCCGAGGCATCTATTTTCTGGCCTGGTATCACCCCTGCCATTACCATTGTAATCGGATTGCACCCTCTAATCCGAGTGCACCACCCACCCCCCTGACGCCCCCGGACTACCCATTCCAGTGTGTTTGTGCCGACTTCTTTACCTACAAAGGCTGCATTTACTTGGTAGTGGTCGACCGTTATTCCAACTGGCCGATTGTCGAGAAGTCCTCCAAAGCGCAGCTGGGCTCATCAATTGCCTACGACGCACCTTTGTCACCTTCGGTATTCCTGATGAGCTGGCCTCTGACGGTGGTCCTGAATTCACGGCTATAGCTACACGTCACTTCTTGAAAGGACTGGGGTGTACATCATCGCCTTTCCTCAGTAGCTTTTCCACATAGCAACTGTCGTGCTGAAATTGGTGTCAAGACTGTAAAACGTCTGATCATGGACAACACCAGCCGTAATGGTGACCTCAATACTGACGCATTCCAACGTGCAATGTTCCAGTATAGAAATACTCCCGACAGAGACACTCCCCGGCAATGTTCATATTTGGACGCCCGATGCGGGACTTCATCCCCATACCACCTGGCAAATACAGGCCCCATAACACTTGGCGTGAGACCTTGGCGGCTCGAGAAGAAGCACTCCGCAATCGCCACATGACAGGTGCCGAGCGCAACTGGCGCCACTCCACAGCGACTCTCGTTGCCCTTGGCACATGCTACAGACCCTGGCACATCGCCCAGAATGACCCAGGATCCTCCGAGTCAAGAACGTCGGCCCCTTGTTGATGCTCCGCCCCCACCTATGGATGAGTCGTCACAAGCCAGCAGGCCCAGCGGCCCAGTACCTTCGATGTTGCCTCCCCAGGTCATTGGTACCAAGCCCGCTACCCCTCCCGCAGTTGACACCCCAGCTACTGCACCCAGGCGGTCCGGTCACAGTACTAAAAAGCCTGCCTGGCACTCTGACTATGATATGTGAACCTATTAATTGGATCATACTTTACCCTTACGTTTCTGATTTTGGTGTTACAGTTTAATAATAATGTTCTTTATTCATGTTCTCAGTCTTTGTCACACCAAAGGACACATAGGAACATTCTGTGCCAAAGACTTGGGGGAGATAGAGGATTACCAACCTTTCTTAATCATATTACATTTCTCTTTGTCTATTTGCAGACCGTGTTCATTGTTGAAGTGACCAAAACAAAGAGACAGCGTTCTTATTTATTTTTAACACGCTTGTTTGTTCTTTGGTGTCGTTGATAACACGCTTGATGGTTGGTTGAACCTTGTCCGATTTAGAAAACGTATTCGTCTTCGGAGTTGCTATCCGGAGAGTTTGGTGGGTCGTTGCTGATGATGGCGTTAGACATGTTTGGTGCCCGTCTGTGCTGGTCTGCTTTCCAACTCCGGCAGAATATTGCGAAGTGGTTAAGCTGCAGTTGCTGTTGCTGGGATGATCATGAAGGTCATGACTGGATCTTGTAGTGGGCGTTTTTGGATGCTTTGATCCGCGATGCCAAGAATATTTACAGCAAGGTTGTGATCTGCCATGTCTAGAGGTTGTCTGGTGCAGCTTTGTGCCCATCTTTGATGATCTTTTGTTGATACCCTCCTGATTTTGATCGCCGCCAATGTAATGTAGTGAGCTTGTCACTAGCACATGGATAGTAGTTGTTGCTTTGATACTTGCTTGGTATATTGTGTCTCAGTACATCTCAGTACATCACATGAGGTTCTATACTTATCAAAGGGCTACATTGTTCTAGGGTGCAATCTGATCCAAGTTGGGGCCTTATTCATTATTCATTTAGTAGGTTGGGGTACATGCATTCCGATGTGGATGAGGTAATGTCTGGGTTTGGGTGTTTGGTTTCAGAGCTCGCGGTGCCTATACATAGCTTTCATGTAAGGATACTACAAATACCCAACTCAAGAGACAAGAACAAATTTCTCCGACGGGTGAAGATGACACTTTACAGCAAATGTGGTAAGAAGTTATTTTCATGAATTAGGCCTTGGCCTAGTTTATTTTAGGCCTAACTCTATCTAAGTTTGGCAAATCTGCGGGGCGATTGTGTAGTTAAGGACACCTTTTTTCTTTTTCAGTTTTTATCATTCCAAAAATACTTTGGCAAACTCATGTTATCTTCATTAAATTCAATCAGCCTAGTAATCCTAATTTTGTTCACAAATGTGACTTTCAACCTGATTTTCTTGTCATGCTTGTCCGAACCGTAAATGTCATTGCAGTCTAGCCAAGTCATGGTGCACTTACTGCAGCCAGCACTGAACATGCTGATGATTTTTAATTTTATCGTCAATGTTTTACCTTATAATCAAGCTCCAAAATCAAAAGCCTGCCCTCTCTCCACTAAATTATTCCTGCCACATGTCGTCGCCAGCTAATTACGTGAGTCCAAAAACTAACAAGTGGCTTCTCTTCCCATGATGGCTTTTAGGAAAGGGGTCCTAAACTATACGTTCGTTCCTAATTCGGTGAGCAGGCCTAGATTGATTTGAGTTGTTTGGGCCTACTTAACACTGCAGTGACAACCATTTGGGGTGAGTGTCCTTTTCAAAAAATTGGGAGAAAATTAAAAAAAAAATGAAGTTGCAAGGCAACCTTTACATACATATGTACACAGGTGATTTTGATTAAATTATATGAGAATTGAGATGTAATTTTTGCTGCCGTTTTATATATTTAATTACATTGCTCAAACAAGCCATTATATTTTTATGTGGGGATCGATATGGTTATAAATCGTTTAAATATTTCTGCACTTTCTTTTTGCAGATAAAACTAATTTATTTTTCAGAATGAACATCTGGTTCAGTGCTTAAATAGAGTATATCAACAATACTTATCACTAAGACGAGGTGGGACTAGATAGACTCCTGCTGTTTAATTTCTCTTGTTTATTTAGCTTTTTGCTTAGTTAGAACGCTACCTGTTATGCTCTTTATCATAATTATGAACCAATGGCTTCACCACCAAAAGGGAAACCTTATTCATTGTTTAATGATTCTTATTGTTCATCTTGCCTGTAGTGGTTTTGCTTTTGTGTATATCAATGGGGTAAGGATAGGCATGATAGGAGAACCCCTGGCCTTTTTTTTTCATGATGATTTATACAATTATCTCATTACTATTTTGTTTTTGTTTTTACATTTTGTACATCAATGGGTTAACCACCCATAAGGAAAACCCTGGCCATTTTGTCATCCTTGGTGATATACATGTATTAAAAAAAAATGTACAGTTATCTTCCTTCGGTTGTTAACTACTCCGTCCATTACTTTGTCCTAGTGATGTTTTCAGTAATCTAATTTCTACTACCTGTAGTGGGTTTGCTTTGTAACATCATCCTGTATCACAATGGGCTGGTGGGACTCCTGGCCAAGTTTTATCATGGTGATGCACGTGAATAATAACCTTATTTCTATTGTGAGTTGTTACAGGTGCGGTATTAATAAAGACTTTATTAAACACAACGTTTGGACGTTGTGTTAATTAGCAAAGATTTGTATTAAATGTACGTACCCCTTTCGTGCCTTTACAACCACAGATACAGGGTTTTTTTAGCGAAAAACGCAGCTGACATAATCCAAATCGTACAGGCATCGCAACTTTTGAATCATAATTGTTTTTCGTACGTGACGTTACGTGCAAAGCTAAGCACGCGATCGCGAGCGCATTATTGGCGCGCCCGGTGTGCAATCTTCGAAATGCCCGCGCAGTACGCTGTGAATAACCATTCAGCGTCATTTATGTCATCATCACAGCCAGTGTTTAGTGTAAGGAACGAGCACGCGCCACTGGAGTCGAGGCTGCCATAGACCGTGCGTGCATTTAGTTCGTCTTCTCACGCATGCGCAATGGTTTCCTCCGCGTCGTCGGCAGTGCAGACGACGCACTGAACGATTGTCTGGTTTTCATGTAAAACGCATCCTTCTCAAACGTACTTAAAAGATGATTCAAACAAAACAAATTATCAGTAGACCAAGTGAACAAAAATATAAATTGTCTCTAGAGTGTGGTAACGACGCTAAAAACCTTTTCAAATATATAAAAAAAAAAACAATAATTATGGACACAAAAAAAACTTACAAAATGATAAAGGAAAAACATCTTTCGCTGAGTTTGGTTTACACATTTGGACAATTTGCCGGGTTTACCTTAGATCAGCCGTAGTACCATCGGAAAGGATGATAGATTAGTTTCATTTGACAGGGGATTTGATGAAAGAAGAAAACCTTATTTAGCTTATAAAAATCGACATTTTTCGAATAAACCCATTTTGAAAGCTTCGTGCACAAATAAACTGGTCCCGGTGCCCTCT